AATTAATAAATGACATATTCTCGATGCGGAACAACACCAACTCCGCCTTGTACAGTATTCTTAAATGAAACACTTTTGCAAGTTAGAGGCCTTCGGCCGCATTTAAAAAAATCACCCTATTCCGCAACAACAACGGCTTCGCCTTGCAAAGTATTCTTAAATTAAGCACTGTTGTAAGCGGGCGGGCTTCGGCCCCTTTCAAAAAAATAACCCTGGGCCGAACCAACGCCGGCCTTGCCTTGCACAGTATTCTTAAGTGAAACATCTTTGATAGTTGGGGGCCTTGGGACACATTTAAAAAAATAAAATTAGGTTTTCCGACTGGCACACCCTCGACCCCATTAAACTCCTACTTATCCAGGCTTGAACCCGATATATATATATAACATATGTACTGCATGCAATGAGCTCCCGTTCGACACTAAACATATCCTATCATTCCGCCTAGAACCTATTCGTCTAACCTCCCTTCGGTCTGGTCCGAACCCGTCTCTTGGACCACCCGTTAGATGACCTCGATGCGGGTAGAACCGCTATCACAATAACAACAGTATCAGTTCCCGCCAAAACGCACAGTGGGCTGAAACGGTCCGGCAAAGGACTTAGCATTTGATAAAAAAATGTTTTCGTTTTTGAAATTTTAAATATTGCGCTGGATTTATCTATCGATTATAAGTAACTATTTCAACGGCGGTCTTCCAGATAACTTAGTATTTTCGAAGTTATTAGTTTCTAGAGTAATTTTTGTAAGAAGAGAAGCAAAAAATAGGGAAAATCTCTAGAATCTGAAATTTTCTAAAGGATTTAACTTTAAGTATGCATAGTACGTATTTTTGACCTATATTAGCTCCTATTCTTCCCGGAAAACAGCGGTTATCAGCGCCATTGAAATTTAAAGTTATAGACGAACTAAAGCCAATATCATCCTGCAAATATTTGTGGGCCATACGGTTCTGCAGTATACTATTGTACTTACAGATGTCTCGCTACCACCCGGTTAGCCGATGATTGCACAGGTATTAACTTAACGGTTGCAATTATTAAACGAGTTTAAAAGTGCGCAAGAAGATTTTTTTGTGTACAAAAGATGTTTTAAACTTAAATCGAGTCCGTTCTTGTGTGGGTCTTCGTCAATTTTGGACTTCACCAGAGCTATAGTGACGTCGACAGTGGAAGGTTTTGGCCGATCTGCTCGGAGCTCGTCCTCTTCGTAAAAATATCCAGTCTGGAATCTTCGAAACCACCTATAAATAGTCATTAGAGGTGCAATCGTTCCATATGCAATTTATTATTCACTTAATATTTGTATTGGCTGTTAATTAAGCCGAAACCCGAAGAGAATCACGTGACAAATTTCTGTTTGCGTTTGTGGGGGGAATTCCGTCTGACCTATCCTCAGATATCTTGCGTCTCCGATTTATCCGATCGTCTTAAAATTTGAAAGGGAGACTAATCAAGTAATTGCAAAGGATTTGGTGTTTTTTAGATTTAACAAAAAGAAATAGAAAGCCACCAACTGACCGATCTTTTGTTGATCCCCTCGTATATTAGCAATAAATTATTACTATCAATATTAATTTATATGATTTACATTTCGATGGTATGGATATACATATTGTATGTACATATATTTTTAAAAGCGGTTTGCATTCAAAACTAAGGATTATGTTTGAATACAATTTTTCCATAATGTAACTCACTGTAGGTACTTCATTGAGTATCTTTGTGGAGTAGTTTCAAAACAAATTTGAATATATTGTTGTATATACGAGGGCGGCCGCGGTAGCCGAGTTTTTAGCGTTGCGGACTGCCATTCAGGCGACCCGGGCTCCGAAAATCACATCGGTTACAAAGCGACGACAATATGTAAGGTAAGTTGACCAGGAAAAACCCAAAAAATTTGCTTTTGTATTAATTCGTAGCCATGTCTTTTATATCTTTTCTACATAATCGCCATAAAAACTGCGGTGTACCATTTTGCAGTTACCGTCTGACCTTTTCCTGACATCGTAACGTTTNTTTTTTTTTTTAATTTTTGTAAGCAATCTGCGGTGTACCATTTTGCAGTTACCGTCTGACCTTTTCCTGACATCGTAACGTTTGCTGCTAATTTTCGTTTGCTTCATTCATTAGTAATCATTTCTTGTGTGGGTCTTCGTCAATTTTGGACTTCACCAGAGCTATAGTGACGTCGACAGTGGAAGGTTTTGGCCGATCTGCTCGGAGCTCGTCCTCTTCGTAAAAATATCCAGTCTGGAATCTTCGGAACCACCTATAAATAGTCATTAAAGGTACAATCGTTCCATATGCAATCTATTATTCACTGAATATTTGTATTGGCTGTTAATTAAGCCGAAACCCGAAGAGAATCACGTGACGAATTTCTGTTTGCGTTTGTGGGGGGAATTTCGTTTGACCTATCCTCAGCTATCTTGCGTTTTCTCGTCTCCGTTTTATCCGATCGTCTTAAAATTTGAAAGAGAGACTAATCAAGTAATTGCAAAGGATTTGGTGTTTTTTAGATTTAACAAAAAGAAATTGAAAGCCACCAACTGACCGATCTTTTGTTGATCCCCTCGTATATTAGCAATAAATTATTACTATCAATATTAATTTATATGATTTGCATTTCGATGGTATGCATATACATATTGTATGTACATATATTTCTAACTAAGCGGTTTGCATTCAAAACTAAGAATTATGTTTGAATCGTATAAACTCCGTAATGTAACTCACTTTAGGTACTTCATTGAGTATCTTTGTGGAATAGTTCCAAAACAAATTTCCTGTAGCTACTTCATGGATTACTCGGATGCCGTGAGTATAAGACATGCCAAGGCATAAGTGCATAATACAGACTCAAATATTTTATTTTCGTAGATATGGCAGAGCGAAGGGAAAATTTTCAAAAATTATAAAACGCTATATCTCTAAAAGCTGTTCACGTAAATCTATACTTTCCGAAGGTAAATTTGGATAAAAAAATACTATTTTTTTTTATAGAAAATTTAGTTTTTCTTAAATTTTTGGGCACTGTATCAAAACTAATACAATATAACATAAAAGGATCATAAAAATATCTTTAATATGATATATCACACTTGGTAGCCACCTTAATGAGCGCGACTAATTTCCTTTTAATTCACCTTTCCAACGATACTATGCTTTTAAAATTGGGTGTACAACTTTTCAATACAAGTATATAGCGTTTTGAAACTTTCGAAAATTTCCCCTTTGCTATACCATATCTACGAAAATAAATGTTTGCGAAAAAAAAAAAAAATTATTATTAAAATCAGAAAAACAGTCGGACCGCACCCACTTCTTTTTTGTTCTACCTAAACAGTATGTATCTATTCTGCACTTGTCTCCATCGCAATGTTGATTAGGCAATATTTTGAGTGTGGATTCAGGTTAGTTTGGGATTACTCTAGTGTCCGCGTGTTGTATACATAGAGCCAATGAAGTGTGTGTTCACGTGACGCATTTACTTAAGTGAAATCATAACACTTTAAAAATATTTAAATCAGTTATTTTGTATTTAATCTTTTTTAATTTAAGTATAAAATGGGCAAAGAAAAATATATATTCCTTTATTCATTTTCGCTGTAATGGCATATAAGCTGTCTAGAAGAATGGTAAACGAGCAAACATCTGAAATCAAAACAACGTCAGCACGGACCGCTTACCTATACGAATCTTGATTAGCCGGCAGCTACGAAGAGCGGGGATAAGGCTTTTTCACCATCGTGCTCAACTTTTTTTTGACCACTCTATAAATACCCGACATGTGCCTCAGGGGACAGGCAGCACATCAGCATGGCCTCCGCAAAATGCACAGTACAACATTAGCCCTTCACGCCATAATCGCTCAGATATTCAATGGTTTCAACCATTGCCGGCTCTGTGCTTCAAGTGTCCTGGTAGCACAGGACCTGTCAAGCGGGTTTTAATAAGTATATCCCGGCTACATGAAAAATTAAACGAGGGTTTCCACAGGGTGGTGCCATCTTCCCATTACTGTTTAACTTCTACTCTTTGATTGCTCGATATTGGCATCTGGACAGGACTGAAAGTGAAGGGCTATCTCGACGAGTTGACTCACTTCTTCACTACACGGAAGCTCAAAATTGAACGACCCAAATCCTCTGCTACCCTCTTCACAAGCTCGACAAAGGAATACAGGCTCGAACTCGACGTGAAGGTCGCAGAGTCATATTTTACACCTTCACTCCGCATACGACCGGAAAGCTCCGGAGCCGCATCAAACCGGGGACTAGTGAGACGCAGTTGAGGAAATTTCAAAGCCCTACACATCCTAAGAAATGTGTGCCGTTCCCTGAGGTCACTTACAGTTTTCGAGAAATATGTTGTTAAATTTGATTTTTTGGCCAATCGAAACTCTCGAATAAAAGCTCACGGAACACTAAAATAGCTCTTATAATAATGCCTAATAGAGCTTACTACGACTTTATTTAATTTATTTTATTATAATATTAATATTTACCATAATTTTTACACAAAAAAAATGCATTTTCACATTTCGCAACTGCATCTTTACAATGCTACCCTGCATTGTATAAATTTGTCTTGCAACAATACTATGCATACTCTGACATTATGGAATGCTTTTCGTGCAAATAAGTTGCTTTTTGGCAAGATGGCTAAAATATGAAGCAGATAGAAAAAATAAGTAATATAATTTAAAAAAATATAATAATAATTAGCGATAAAAACTTGCTATCCGACGTTGGCCGTTGTTTTTAAGAATTTATAATAAAATAAAGTATCACAAACTTTAGCGATGCACAATCTGCTTATGTTTGCGCATAATAAACTTTACCGATGCATCTCGGAACATGATACATCGTCAAAATTTGCACAGTTGCATTTAAGAATACGTGACAATGTATGGTTGCTTTTAAACGGATGTTTGAAGCTCACCCTATATTGCAAAGGAATTAATAAATGACGTATACTCGATGCGNTAAAATTGGGTGTACAACTTTTCAATACAAAAATATAGTGTTTTATAACTTTCGAAAATTTCCCCTTTGCTACACCATATCTACGAAAATAAATGTTTTCACCCAAAAAAAAATTATCATTAAAATCAGAAAAACAGTCGGACCGCACCCACTTATTTTTTGTTCTACCTAAACGGTATGTATCTATTCTGCACTTGTCACCATCGCAATGCTAATTAGGCAACATTTTTAGTATGAATTCAGGTATGAATTAGTGTCCGCGTGTTGTATACATAGAGCCAATGAAGTGTGTGTTCACGTGACGCATTTACTTAAGTGAAATCATAACACTTTAATAATATTTAAATCAGTTATTTTGTATTTAATCTTTTTTAATTTAAGTATAAAATGGGCAAAGAAAAATATATATTCCTTTATTCATATGACCTGTCAAGTGGGTTTTAATAAGTATATCCCGGCTACCTGAAAAATTAAACGAGGGTTTCCACAGGGTGGTTTCATCTTCCCGTTACTGTTTAACTTCTACTCTTCGACGCTCTCTCCTCCAATAGCAGGGGTTTCCTTGCCTCATATGCCGATGATTGCTCGATATTGGCATCTGGACAGGACCGAAAGTGAAGGGCTATCTCGACGAGTTGACCCACTTCTTCACTACACGGAAGCGCAAAATTTAACGACCCAAATCCTCTGCTACCCTTTTCACAAGCTGGACAAAGGAATACAGGCTCGAACTCGACGTGAAGGTCGCAGAGTCATATTTTATTTCACTCCGCATACGACCGGAAAGCTCCGGAGCCGCATCAAACCGGGGACTAGCGAGACGCAGTTGACGAAGTTTCAAAGCCCTAGACATCCTAAGAAATGTATGCCGTTCCCTGAGGTAACTTACAGTTTTCGAGAAATATGTTGTTAAATTTGATTTTTTGACCAACCGAAACTCTCGAATAAAAGCTCACGGAACACTAAAATAGCTCTTATAATAATGCCTAATAGAGCTTACTATGACTTTATTCAATTTATTTTATTATAATATTAATATTTACCATAATTTTTGCACAAAAAAAATTCATTTTCACATTTCGCAACTGCATCTTTACAATGCTACCCAGCATTGTATAAATTTGTCTTGCAACAATACTTTGCAAACTCTGACATTATGGAACGCTTTTCGAGCAAATAAGTTGCTTTTTGTCAAGATGGCTAAAATACAAAACAGATATAAAAAATAAGTAATATAATATAAAAAAAAAATAATTAGCGATAAAAAACTTGCTATCCGACGTTGGCCGTCGTTTTTAAGAGTTTATAATAAAATAAAGCATCACAAACTTTAGCGATGCACAATCTGCTTTTGTTTGCGCATCATAAACTTTACCGATGCATCTCGGAACATGATACATCGTCAAAATTTGCACAGTTGCATTTAAGAATACGTGACAATGTATGGTTGCTTTTCAACGGATGTTTGAAGCTCACCCTATATTGCAAAGGAATTAATAAATGACGTATTCTCGATGCGGAACAACACCAACTCCGCCTTGTACAGTACTCTTAAATGAAACACTTTTGCAAGTTAGAGGCCTTCGGACGTATTTAAAAAAATCACCCTATTCCGCAACAACAACGGCTTCGCCTTGCAAAGTATTCTTAAATTAAGCACTGTTGTAAGCGGGCGGGCTTCGGCCCCTTTCATAAAAATAACCCTGCGCCGAACCAACGCCGGCCTTGCCTTGCACAGTATTCTTAAGTGAAACATCTTTGATAGTTGGGGGCCTTGGGACGCATTTAAAAAAATAAAATTAGGTTTTCCGACTGGCACACCCTCGACCCGATTAAACTCCTACTTATCCAGGCTCGAACCCGATATATATATAACCTATGTACTGCATGCAATGAGTTCCCGTTCGACACTAAACATATCTTATCGTTCCGCCTGGAACCTATTCGTCTAACCTCCCTTCGGTCTGGTCCGAACCCGTTTCTTGGACCACCCGTTAGATGACCTCGATGCTGGTAAAACCGCTATCACAATAACAACAGTATCAGTTCCCGCCAAAACGCACAGTGGGCTGAAACGGCCCGGCAAAGGACTTAGCATTTGATAAAAAAAAGTTTTCTTTTTTGAAATTTTAAGTATTGCGCTGGATTTATCTATCGATTATAAGTAACTATTTCAACCGCGGTCTTCCAGATAACTTAGTATTTTCGAAGTTATTAGTTTCTAGAGTAATTTTTGTAAGAAGAGAAGCAAAAAATAGGGAAAATCTCTAGAATCTGAAATTTTCTAAAGGATTTAACTTTAAGTATGCATAATACGTATTTTTGACCTATATTAGCTCCTATTATCCCCGTAAAACAGCGGTTATCAGTGACATATTTAAATTTATAGACGAACTTAAGCCAATATCATCCTGCAAATATTTGTGGGCCATACGGTTCTGCAGTATACTATTGTACTTACAGATGTCTCGCTACCACCCGGTTAGCCGATGATTGCACATGTATTAACGGTTGCAATTATTAAACGAGTAGTATAAACTTGTAGGTGTCTGCATTTTGTGGGAAAAACATCAAGACTCAAAACCAGTAGGCACACTGCAGTAGGGGCTCGACCGAAAATCGCTTCAGCGGTTACAAGGCGTCAATTGTATTCAAATATAGTAAACAAAAATAAATGACAATTCGAATACTAAGCTCAGTAAACACCCAGTGGAAGCACTTGACAGTTCTCGTAAACTCAAAACAAGCAAACATAGACTTTACGCTTGGTAGAAACGGCCTAAAGCTATAGGCGTAGAGTTTTCTAACACCAATGAGTGGCAACGCGCGCTATCCCAAAATAATAGCGCGAAATACAATTTATTTGTTAATTTTTTTTTAACCTACTTGTCTATCCCCTCTCGTCAGTTTTTTCTCCTCTCTTTCACACTTTTATTCTTCACATCTAACTTCATCATATAACGCGTTGTCAAAATTGTGAGATTATCATGCTATGTCCCATACAAATTGTATGGGCATGATGATTTTTGACAGTTGTTTAGCATTCAACGCTCAAATTTAGAGATATCACTAACGGACTTACTAAAGTAGACGAACAGGAAACCGCGTTTTATTTGTGTAAAAATTATGGAAAACCTGAATATTAGCTTTTATTCGGGAATTTCAGTTGGTCAAAAAATCAACTTTAACAACAAATTTCTTGAAAACTATAAGTTACTTCGGGAAACTGCATACATTTTTATAATGTGTATGACCTCTTACCACCCAACAAGAAATTTTATTCTAAGCCTGCAACACTCGGTTATCAGCGCCATTGAAATTGAAAGTTATAGACGAAATAAAGTCAATATCATCCTGCAATTATTGGTGGGCCATACGGTTCATTTGAGCCATTAGGTACTCCTCTGCAGTATACTATTGTACATTACATCTGTCATGACATCTGTATCGCTACCACCCGGTTAGCCGATGATGGCATATGTATTAGCGGTTGCAATTATTAAACGAGTTTAAAAGTGCGCAAGAAGATTTTTTTGTGTTCAAAAGATGTTTGAAAATGAAATCGAGTCCATAGCCGATGTGTTGAAATTTGAATATATTGTATATACGAGGGCAGCCGCTGTAGCCGAGTTTTTACCATTGCGGACTGCCATTCAAGAGACCCTGGCTCAAATCTTGGTGTCATACTAACATCCAAAAGGTTAAAAAAATTTATTTGGATAAAAAAATAATTGTGGCCGCCCCTCGGCAGGGATTGTCAACCCCTCCGAGTCTCCGAAAATCACATCGGTTACAAAGCGGCATTGATTTAAATGCATTTCATAAGCCACTAGATTTTTAAAAAAAAAAAAATCTTCGAAATTTTGGTTTTTAGGCTTATAAAGTTCAGCATTACCTGTATTAATAATTTCCTCGTTGCTATAAAAAACCTCCTCTATATATATATATTTTTTTTTTTAAATTTTTGTAAGCAATCTGTGGTGTACCATTTTGCAGTTACCGTCTGACCTTCTCCTGAAATCGTAACGTTTGCTGCTAATTTTCGTTGCTTCATTCATTAGCAATCATTTCTTGTGTGGGTCTTCGTCAATTTTAGACTTCACCAGAGCTATAGTGACGTCGACAGTGGAAGGTTTTGGCCGATCTGCTCGGAGTTCGTCCCATTTGTAAAAATATCCAGTCTGGAATCTTCACTGAATATTTGTATTGGCTGTTGATTAAGCCGAAACCCGAAGAGAATCACGTGACGAATTTCTGTTTGCGTTTGTAGGGGGAATTTCGTCTGACCTATCCTCAGCTATCTTTCGTTTTCTCGTCTCCGTTTTATCCGATCGTCTTAAAATTTGAAAGAGAGACTAATTAAGTAATTGCAAAGGATTTGGTGTTTTTTAGATTTAACAAAAAGAAATTGAAAGCCACCAACTGACAGATCTTTAGTTAATCCCCTCATATATTAGCAATAAATTATTACTATCAATATTAATTTATATGATTTGCATTTCGATGGTATGTATATACATATTGTATGTACATATATTTTTTACAAAGCAGTTTGCATTCAAAACTAAGAATTTTGTTTGAATAAAATTTTTCGTGTAAACTCCATAATGTAACTCACTATAGGTACTTCATTGAGTATCTTTGTGGAGTAGTTTCAAAACAAATTTCCCCTAGCTACTTCATGGATTTCCCGGATGCCGTGAGTATAAGACATGCCAAGACATAAGTGCATAATACAGACCCCAAAATTTTATTTTCGTAGATATGGGGGAGCGAAGGGAAAATTTTCGAAAATTATAAAACGCCTCTAAAAGCTGTGCACGTAATTCTATACATTCCGAAGGTAAATTTGGAAAATATTCAGTAACAAAAAAATATACTATTTTTTTTATAGAAAATTTAGTTTTTCTTAAATTTTTGTGCACTGTATCAAAACTAATACAATATAACATAAAAGGATCATAAAAATATCTTTAATATGATATATCACACTTGGTAGCCACCTTACTATGAGCGCGACTAATTTCCTGTTAATTCACCTTTCCAACGATACTATGCTTTTAAAATTGGGTGTACAACTTTTCAATACAAATATATAGAATTTTATAACTGTCGAAAATTTCCCCTTTGCTACACCATATCTACGAAAATAAATGTTTGCGCAAAAAAAAAATTATCATTAAAATCAGAAAAAACAGTCGGACCACACCCACCTTTTTTTTGTTCTACCTAAACGGTATGTATTCTGCACTTGTTCCTATCGCAATGTTAATTAGGCAATATTTTTAGTATGGATTCAGGTTAGTTTGGGATTACTCTAGTGTCTGCGTGTTGTATACATAAAGCCAATGAAGTGTGCTTCACCTGACGCATTTACTTAAGTGAAATCATAACACCATGAAAATATGTAGTTCAGTTAATTCTGTTTAAAAATTTAATCTTTATTAATATAAGTGTAAGATGGGTAAAGAAAAATATATATTCCTATATTCATTTTCGCTGTAAGGGCATATAAGCTTTCTAGAAGAATTATATAAGAGCAAAAGTCTGACTATTTCGGTGGTATGCTCCAGATCGCTATCTTGTTGGAACCAAAATGTCGAAGATAAGGCAACGTTATCCGCACTTTGCTTCAAATTCGAATCGAATATCCTCATCTGCCCATTGTCAATTAAATATATTCAAACTGACCCATACCACCCGCCGCCATGCATTGTGAAATGACTAGCGGGCTGGAGTTGGCAAAACAACGTCAGCACGGACCGCTTACCTATACGAGTCTTGATTAGCCGGCCTCCCGTCCTTCCGTGGCCCACCGGACATTCATTAACTTTAAAAGTGCTAACTGGCACGGACTCATCGAGAATGTCTTCAATACTC